TTGTCTGTGGGGTTACAACAACAAACAGAACCCTTCACTCCACTTATTGTGATGCTCGATACAACTGTACTCAGCAGTTCTTTTGCCAGGCCCCATGATACAGCTGCTGTTTGCCATTCGGTGCAGTCTGTCTACAATCAAATTTTATCTACAACCTGGCATGGTGGCTATCTTAGGATACACTGTGCACATAAACCGGTTTGTTCATAGCCTGGCTATTCAATGCGCAGTGTGCCCTTTGCGCTTTAGAAAAATGTAGCTCTGAGACATCTCACAGACACAGTTTTTCTGAAAGCAGCTCTCCATAACACCTACCTTTCGATTACAAACCGTGTTGTTCCGTAAGCCTGGTTGTACGCACACTCCACTGGCGCAGTCGGCGATCGGAAAGGCGCTATCACCCACGCCCTGCACGGGTAGCCGCAATGGTCAGGCCGCCGTACGCGCCCGTCGCGACGTTCTCCCCGTCACTGCTCTGCGACAGCACGTAGGAATCGTGGATGCTTCCGGGTCACATGGCACCACAATCAGGATCCTCGAGCGCGCGTCCACAATCAGCTGCAAGTTGATAGAGTGACCGTAGTGCTTGTTGACGAACAGTTCCTCGTGCACGGCGGCCCTTGGATCCGAACGTGGGTGACGTCGATGACTCCCACGACGCCCGGAAAGCCGCCCATGACGTAAAACTTCTGCTGCAGTTCGGGGAGTTCCGCTGCTGTTGACCACCCGAAGGAGGAAACATGGTTTACACCGTCAGTTGAATACTATAGCAGTTTTCATTGCCGACATAGTCCTCAAAAGAACGAAGCTTGCCGCGAGATATGATCAATACATGTCATTCGCTACCGTTTTGAAGAGTCTGCTCCTTTTCAAAACTCACTCAAGTATCCACCAGCTGTTTCCACTGACAAGTTGTGAAACTCGTTATTTCAAAACTGTTTTCGTAATGAGGAACTCACCGTGATACGAAAGACCGTGCCGCACCAAAGACAATAAAAATAGAGTGAGCTTGGGGAAGGACCACTACACAACGTTTTGAGGACGCAGTGACGGCGCTGCATGTTGACCAGAAGGGGGTTTTAACTGACGAAAACAAAAGTCTCGATTGCTCCAAAATTACTTCGCGGCTGGCCGCTTAATAAATGTAACATATAGTCAAAGAGGAACGTTAGAAATAAGACTGTTTTCTCACCTCCAAGACTCCGGTGATGCGCATGTTGCTGTCGCGGCGAAGGCGAAACCGAAACCTCGTCAGAAACGTCGAAGGTGTCGAGGGGGCGAAATCGGTCCTGGAAAACACGGTCCGACGGTGCCGCGGAGTGCATTCATGCGGCGAAGATTGTTTGGAGCCGGTGTCTTGTGGCCACGTCCGACATTTTGTTTACTCTGAGACCGCCAGTGAGCCTCCTCGGTTACTGTCTCAAGATCTGAGACTAGAGTTGAGTCAGAGACTCGGTTTTGGTCTCAAGTCCAGACTAAGTTTCGTTTCGAGCAAGTGGCTAACCTCTGAGACTGTCTCAGTTTGGGTCTCCGTTTGGGTCTCAGTTTGGGTCTTAAATCGGCCGCCAGCTAATTTGCTACCGGGCTGTCTCCCGGCTTGAGACACAACTTGAGTCAGAGACTCGGTTTCAGTCTCAAGTCCAGACTAAGTTTCGTTTCGAGCAAGTGGCTCACGTTCGGTCTCGGCTGAGACTGTCTCAAGTTGTGTCTCAACTCTTTCGAGCAAGCGGCCCCAGCATTTTTCAGCGAATATGCTGGTCTTGCCACGGTATTTTACTAACGCGAGGCCATGCCGCGAAGTCTCAACGGTAACGACTTGCGTTCGCAGTAGCTTTTGTGCGACGACATGATGATCCGGCGATGGTGTCGCCATCGGAAAGTTCGAAGCGGACGCAAGGCTTAGCATCGCTGGGCCGCTCGTCTGACGTCGTCTTCTTTTTTTCCTCTCGTTGGAGGTCTGCGTTCCCTGCCTCGAGTCGCCTGTCAATACAGTGCCGGTGTTATGTTCGTGTGTTTAGTACATCCGCATGGCGGCGCCAGCGGCGAGCAGTCTGGCAACCGGGGACGCATGCGCCATCACGTTCTGCGCTGCGGCGCGTGTGGAACATCAAGTCGGACACAGACCGTTGTTGGAGCTAGTCTGGCCCGCAATAAATGTTGACGCCACGGAGTGTTTGTTTCCTGGAACCCGACATAACAGTGGCGACGAGGATGGGATTCCTGCAGGACGGCGGCACTGCGGCCGCCAAGGAAAGCTAACTCCGTTGCCCGGCCGCTCAGCATGGCCACCGCTCCCACCGAGGCCTACATCGAGGCTTTCGACTTCTCCCGACCTGAGGACTGGGAGGATTACGCACAGCGGTTCGAATTCTTCCTGGATGCGCAAGGTATCACAGATGCCGGTAAGAAGCGGGCGACGTTCCTCAGCCGTTGCGGCTCCGCTACGTTCCAGTTGGCCAAAGCGCTCGTGGCGCCGGCCCCGCTCGGGGATACGCCCCTCGAAACAATCCTCACCGCGCTGAGTTAGCACCTGGCCCCGAAGCCTCCAGAGCTTGCGAGGCGACACGAGTTCCATCGCCGTGATCAGGCACAGGGAGAGTCTGCGGCGGCCTACCTCGCTGCCCTTCGTACCACAGCGCAGCATTGCCAGTTCACCGCCCTCGACACTGCGCTCCGGGATCGTTTTGTGTTCGGGTTTCGGAGCGACAAAGTGAAGCAACGACTCTTGGCTAAAAAAGAAGTGACCCTCGCCAGTGCTGTCGAGGAAGCAATCGCTGCCGAGGTCATCGACCGGGAAGCCTGCCGCGACTCCCGCCCAAGCGTAAGCGCACCACGCATCGAGGCCGTGCACCAGGGGACAAGCGCGGGTATCGACAACGAGCAAGACGCCGCCGAGGACGTCTTGCGCCTAAGGATAGACTAGCGGAGGGACCCGGAAGGAACGGGAGGCGCCTTCTGTGCTGGCTGCGGAGGCTCCCACGAACGGCGGCTGTGCCGTTTCCGGGATGCCCAGTGCAGGGGCTGCGGAAAAACGGGTCATATACTTCGAGTCTGCCGGTCCCGAAGGCCACGGGACTACCGCCAGAATTCTGAGACGGACTGCAAGACGCCTCGCGTCAGGGCCACGACTCGCACAAACATTGCCCACTGCGACGATCAAACCGTGACTGCTATCCACGATGTGCCCGCGCCGGCCCTGAGGAAGATACATGTGGAGGTCATGCTTGAGGGCAAGCCATGCCAAATGGAGGTGGATTCTGGGTCAACTTTTTCGCTCATTTCTGAGGCCACAGCCAGGCGGATCTTCCCAAATGGCTGCTTGCCAGCCCTGGAACCACTGGATATCACGATGAAGGACTATCAGGCCAACCGCATCGCAGTGCATGGCTATGGCATGTTCAGGGTGAAATTCAAGGACTTTGATGGCCTATTGCGTCTCGTCATCGTCAAGGGTGAGCGTCAGAGCCTCCTGGGGCTGGACTGGTTCCCAGCCCTGGGCATCAACATCATAGGAGTGCAGCACATCACCCAGCCATCTCATGCGATCAGTAACATCCTTAAGGAATTTGGGTCCGTGTTTGATGGAGCGTTGGGATGCTACAAAGGACCACCTGTGCAGTTTTCACTCAATCCTGAGGTCATGCCCGTGCGGTTGAAGGCAAAAAGAGTACCCTTTGCTCTTCGGCCAAAAATCGATGCCGAGCTAGACAAGCTCATACAACAAGGGGTGCTGGAGCCTGTGGATCAAGCTAAATGGGAAACACCTATTGTCACGCCCTTGAAGGCAAATGGGGATGTGCGTATCTGTGCAGACTACAAGTGCACGATTAATAGGGCATTGCAACAACATGCATACCCAGTGCCAGTCGTGAACCATCTCCTGGCAGCCCTTGGAGGTGCCACAATCTTTGCAAAGCTTGATTTGGCACAGGCCTATCAGCAGCTGCCAGTGACCGAAGAAGCAGCAGAGGCCCAGACCATCGTAACTCATAGGGGAGCTTTCCGCGTCCGCAGGCTTCAGTTTGGGGTCTGTGTCGCACCCGGCATCTTCCAAAGTCTCATGGAAGACATCCTGAGGGGACTACCGGGTGTCATCGCCTATTTTGATGACGTGATTATTGCTGGAGCCTCACAGGAAGAACTGCTCGTTCGCCTACGTGACGTTCTAGGACGGTTTCAAGCCGTAGGGCTCAAGGTCAAGAAAGAAAAATGCCAACTCGGTGTGACACAAGTAGACTTTTTAGGGTTTCGAGTGGACGCTGAGGGAATACATCCGACACCGGGAAAGACCGAGGCCATCATGAATGCCCCATGCCCTGCAAACAAGACTGAACTACAGGCATTCCTGGGACTCCTAAACTTCTACCATGCTTTCCTACACCACAAGGCAACCATTGCAGAACCACTGCACCGTCTATTGAACAAGAATGCTAAGTGGGCCTGGGGCCGAACACAACAGAGAGCCTTTGACGCGGTGAAAGAGCTCTTGGCATCCAACCAAGTCTTAACACACTTTGATGAAAAGAAACCCTTGATCCTGGCTTGTGATGCCTCCCCATACGGAATAGGAGCTGTGCTGAGTCACCACATGCCTGATGGGAAAGAAGCACCTATCGCATTCTATTCCAGGACACTGTCTACCACCGAGCGCAATTATGCTCAGATTGATAAGGAGGCGCTTGCAGTGGTCGCAGGTGTAAAAAAGTTTCATGACTACGTATGGGGCCGCCTATTTCAGATCCACACGGACCACAAGCCACTTCTGAGGCTGTTCACCCCTGACCGTCAGACACCGCAGATGTTGTCACCACGGATGCTGCGCTGGTCGATATTTCTAAATGGGTACCAGTACTCTCTCCTCCATCGGCCTGGGAAGCGGCTGGGCCACGCAGACAGCCTCAGCAGAATTCCCTTAATGCAACAGCACCAGGACGACCCGGCCCCAGCAGAGATCATTATGCTCCTGGACATGCTCCCAGAACCCCCACTCCAAGCCGCTGACATCGCCACACAGTCTGCAAGGGACCGTACCATGTCTCGTGTACTCAACTGGGTGTGGAAGGGGTGGCCACCAAGGCACAGCATCACTTCTGAGTTCACACCATTCGTGTCAAGGCAACATGAGCTGTCTGCCCACAAAGGTTGTTTACTGTGGGGTGACCGTGTGGTGATACCGCTGAAGCTACGGTCCCGGATTCTCGAAGCCTTGCACGCCGGACATCCAGGAATTGTTCGGATGAAGGCACTTGTCCGCAGCTATGTATGGTGGCCAGGAATGGATGCGGCTATCGAGGAATGGGTGCGACGATGTTCTCCCTGCCAGGAAACACGGCCAGAGATGCCCCGAGCACCAGTCCATCCATGGGGGATGACCCGGGCGCCGTGGTGTCGCCTGCACATTGATTTCGCAGGGCCGTTCCAAGGAAAGACATTCCTGATCATAGTGGACTCCTATTCAAAGTGGCTGGAGGTCATCGCAGTGTCATCCTTGACATCGCTCACCGTGATCAATGCCTTACGGAGGCTGTTCGCAACACATGGTCTTCCAGACACAGTAGTGTCGGACAATGGGCCACAATTTACGTCCGCCGAGTTCCGGGAGTTTCTGGAGGCCAACCTGATCCGCCATGTGACATCTGCACCTTTTCATCCATCTACACATTTCCAGGCTGAAAGGATGGTGCGAACCACCAAGGATTCTCTGTCGCGCATTGTGCAGGGAGATTGGTCACGGCGACTGGCAGATTTCTTGCTACAGCAGCATGTAACTCCACACTCAAGCACGGGGCGATCACCGGCCGAACTGTTAATAGGCCGCCGGGTATCGACCATGCTGGACCGGCTGCATCCCGACAGGGCTCCGGCCAAGTCATCCCAGCAAACAGGACTGCTGCCAGTGCCACGCTCATTCCTGCCTGAGGACCCTGTATTTGCACGCAACTGTGGCCGTGGCCCCCCATGGGTCCCCGCTGTGATTGGCCGAGCGACGGGGCCAATCTCCTACGAAGTGACCCTCCCAGATGGCAGGGTGTTGCGGCGGCACGTTGACCAGCTCCGGCGCCGGGCAATGGCGCCTTGCACAAGCGAGGGACCGGCACCAACAGAACAACAGCCAGAGGTCTACCCCACACAAGGGCCATCATCAAGGGAAGTTTATCCTCGGCAAGGGATACCTCCAGGGCAAGTGAGCAATGAGCCAGCCGAGAGTTCGTTGGAAGAGCAGCCAACGGCTGAACCCTCTTCAGGCGACACAACCATGTCCCAACCTGTGCCAACGACCGCACCACGGCCAGTGTCGCCGGAAGGACTAGAGGGGGATCCTGAACCAGCGACCCTGCGCCGTTCGCAGCGAACTCGGAAAGCCCCATCCCGCCTGCGAGACTTTGTGCTGGCACTGGCCGAGTGTTGAGCCTGAACTTAGGGGGAAGGGGTGTTATGTTCGTGTGTTTAGTACATCCGCATGGCGGCGCCAGCGGCGAGCAGTCTGGCAACCGGGGATGCATGCGCCATCACGTTCTGCGCTGCTGCGCGTATGGAACATCAAGTCGGACACAGACCGTTGTTGGAGCTAGTCTGGCCCGCAATAAATGTTGACGCCACGGAGTGTTTGTTTCCGCGAACCCGACATAACAGCCGGTATCGCCGTTTTTCTTCCCTGTGGACTCCGTGGGGCGAGATGAAAATGCAGCGCTCATCATCCAGTGATAACAACAGTATGTATGAGCGAGATTAGCAGCACGAGTGAACTGCCGGCACCCCCAGCACCGGGTTCCTTTGCTAGGCATTGCCTGCGCCCTCGCTTGCAACGGTGGATAAATAAACGAAGTGTAACTACTGAAACGACGTTGTACGGCGTCATTTGCTCGGCAGCAGTGGCGGCAAGGAGAGCATCCGCTAAACCTCGTCGTCGAATTTTTCAGAAGTCGCATCTGCTGACCGCTGAACGTATTGGCCCTGGGATCGTCAACTTGCGTATCTGCTGACCGCTGAACGCATTGGCCCTGGGATCGTCAACGCACGAAGAGACACGAGGCAAGCCAGCGAAGCCACGTCATCAGGGATCTGCGATAAAGGCGATCAGCGCGATCGGCCAGTTCACATTTGCTCGGCAGCAGTGGCGGCAAGGAGAGCATCCGCTAAACCTCGTCGTCGAATTTTTCAGAAGTCGCATCTGCTGACCGCTGAACGTATTGGCCCTGGGATCGTCAACTTGCGTATCTGCTGACCGCTGAACGCATTGGCCCTGGGATCGTCAACGCACGAAGAGACACGAGGCAAGCCAGCGAAGCCACGTCATCAGGGATCTGCGATAAAGGCGATCAGCGCGATCGGCCAGTTCACATTTGCTCGGCAGCAGTGGCGGCAAGGAGAGCATCCGCTAAACCTCGTCGTCGAATTTTTCAGAAGTCGCATCTGCTGACCGCTGAACGTATTGGCCCTGGGATCGTCAACTTGCGTATCTGCTGACCGCTGAACGCATTGGCCCTGGGATCGTCAACGCACGAAGAGACACGAGGCAAGCCAGCGAAGCCACGTCATCAGGGATCTGCGATAAAGGCGATCAGCGCGATCGGCCAGTTCACATTTGCTCGGCAGCAGTGGCGGCAAGGAGAGCATCCGCTAAACCTCGTCGTCGAATTTTTCAGGTTGGTGAATTATATTTATAGGATCGTATACGTATATGTTCCTCATTTCCTTGCCGCTGCTGCTGCTGCTTCTGTGAAAAAGCATTAGGTTCTGTGTTGAATGGCCAATGGCGAACCATTTGACTCTGATTTGTGCATGCATTGTAATCAGTCGCTTCCAGATGATGGCATGTTTTCTAAATGTTGTGACTGTGAGTATGCCTATCACCTGGGTGCTTGCTCGGGTGTCAGCGAAAGCACGTTTAAGTCTAGGGGGGAAAACGCAAAGAAAACCTGGAGATGCCCGACGTGTCGTACTTCAAAAGCTCGGGGAGCACAGGCGCAGAGCAGAGACAAACGAGAGCCGGAGCTTGACTTAGGAAGACTGCTGCTTGAAATGAACAACAAACTGGGCGATCTCGTAACCATACGGGAAAAGGTGGACTCGTTGATGTCGGTGAAAGATACTGTCTCTAACATTGAAAAGAAAGTCCAGGAATTGTCGGATAAGTATGACCAAGTGCTCGCGCAAATGAAGGAACAGTCTAAAGAGATCTCCGACCTCAAAAAACGAGTTTCAAATGTCGAGACGCAGGGCAGCACCGAAGAAGTAAAGAGGTTAACACTAGAAGTAAACAGCCTGGAGCAGTATAGCCGACGGCAGAACTTAGAAATACATGGACTTCCACGGAGCGAAAATGAAAATCTGCTAAGCAAAGTAAATGAAATCGCAAGAAAACTAGAGTTGAGTGAACTGACGGAAAATGATTTGGATGGGCTACACAGGCTGCCGCCCAAGCAAGAAAAGAGTCCGGTAATCTTGGTACGCTTTTTGTCGCGGGTGACGCGTGATCAGTGGCTGGCGAAACGGGGCGGCTTAAGAGATAGCGGTCTGAATGTCCGCTTCTTTGATAATTTGACTGCCTCCAACAAAAAGCTGCTGTGGATGACGAAGACAAAGGCTCGTGAACAAGGGTACGCGTTTACATGGCAGAAAAACGGAACGGTGTTTGTACGAAAGGCACAAGGCCTGCGCGCTATTAAGATTGAATCCGAGGATGATCTCGGCAAAATAACGTAAAATGGCTGACACAACATTCATGTCCCTGTACTACAGCCAGGATACATTTAAACAACTTCTGCAAGATAACGTATCGTTTCTTAAAAGACATTTTTCTATTTGTCATTTGAATGCGAGGAGTATTGTAAATAAACATGATGATGTTACTATGTTTTTGAACTCTCTGAGTTATAGTTTCGACGTCTTGGCTTTCACGGAAACTTGGGTCTATAATACAAGTGATCAGGTTAGTTTTGAGGGCTATAAGAGCGAAGGCGTATTCAGATCTAATAAAAAAGGAGGGGGCGTTTCACTGTATTTTCGTAAAAGCATAGGGTATAGTGTTATGTCCGAATACTCGTATGTAACTAGGGACTACGAATCAATTGTTGCCATATGTGAAGGATCCGTAGTGGCTGCTCTATATCGTCCACCTTCTGGGGCGATATCCGAATTTATGAATTACGTAGTTAAACTTTTGGGGCATATTACCTCACTGAATTTAAGAATCATACTAATAGGGGACTTTAATATTGATCTGTCGGGCTCGCATCCGCTGTGCCGACAGTTCCTCGATACTATTGAATCATTCGGGTGCAGTAACGTAATTACTGCGCCAACAAGAATAACTCGGGATAGTGCGACCATAATTGATTTATGTATCACAAGTGACCTACCGAGTGAAACAATTTCTGGAATCTTTTCCTGTCCAGTCAGTGATCACTTACCTATATTTTGCATTCTTCCTTCTCAACGCAAACGAATAGACACAAAGCACTCTGTAGCTATCACAACTTGTAGGAGTATCAATGCTGCCAATATAACCAAGTTCTATGACCTTGTATCAAAGATTAATTGGGATGACTTATACAGTCAAAGGGATCCAAGTATTTGCTACGACATTTTCATAACTAGGATTAAAGAATGTTATGACGAAGCGTTTCCTTTGCGAAATGTTAGAAAACACAAAAAAATAAGAAAACCATGGATCACTCATGATATGTATAGAAGAATAAAACGGCGAGATAAACTTTATGCTACTTTTATCAATACAAGAGATGAGTCGGTGTTACGCGAATATAAAAAGATAAGGAATAAGCTAAACGCAGACATTAAGAAAGCACGCAAGCAGTATTACGGCGATAAATTCGCGTCCGTTTATAATGATCCCAAAAAAGTATGGAACACGGTGAGGTGTCTTACCTCCCAGCCCCACAATATACTTCCAAATGAACTGGTAATTGATGGTATCTTATATTCGAATTCCTTCCTTGCTAACAAGTTTAACGCTCACTTCTTAAGTTGCGGCGCCTGCCCCACTACATCCGTATCAAGTAGTAGCTATGAGCCTTATATGTTGCCAGCTGCAACTACAAATTCAGTTTTCCTCTGCCCTGTGACGGAGGCGGAGATAACGAGGCTCCTCCAGAATTTAAGTAATAACACAGCGGCCGGATCAGATGATATAAAAGCGGCTCCGATTAAGGCAATTACGCACTTCATAAGCTCCCCTCTAGAACATATCTGTAACACATCGTTATTGACTGGTATATTTCCGGAAAAAATGAAACTTGCCAGAGTTTGCGTTATACATAAAGGTGGTCCACGCAATAATATAAATAACTATAGGCCAATTTCTGTGCTACCTTTATTCTCAAAAATTCTAGAGCAGGTAATCAACGTTAGGCTTTCTAGTTACCTTGAAAAAAATAACATAATTGTAAAGCAACAGTATGGCTTCCAGAAAAACAAATCTACGGAAAAAGCCTTGCTATATATAAAAGATAAGCTAATTAATAGTTTTGAAAATCAATTATATACAGTAGGAATTTTTTTGGATTTTCGCAAGGCATTTGATTCGATTAAACATGACATTCTTCTAAAAAAGCTGACGCACTATGGCATAAGGGGGATAACTTGGAACCTAATTCACAGCTATTTATCTCGACGATCACAATATGTAAAAATCAATGAGTATGAATCGCAACTAATGAAAATAAATTACGGTGTACCTCAGGGGTCAATTCTGGGACCATTACTTTTTCTGTTGTACATAAATGATATAGTAAACATTCCGCAAACTCCAGATATTATACTTTATGCAGACGACACCAATGTGTTTTTTACTCATAAGGATCTTAGTGTAATAGAAGGCTTATCAAACATTTGGTTACGCGAACTTGCGCTGTGGCTAGAGTCTAGTCAAATAGAATTGAATATTAACAAAACAAAATATGTTATTTTCAAGCCTGTGCATAAGCAACTCTGTAGTAACTTCTCGGTACAATTTAGAAACTCAGAATTAGAAAGAGTGTCCTCCCTAAAATTTTTAGGTGTCTGGTTCGAAGAAACCTTAAGCTGGACAGACCACATCAATCATATTCGCTCTAGCGTATCCAGATCTATTGGAATCTTGTATAAACTTAAACATCTCCTTCCCTGTTGGCTTAAGTGCCAACTCTACTACAGTCTTGTGCAATCTCATTTACATTATTGCTTACTA